AAATACAATACTTTATGCAATTTCAAATATCTGCCTAGGCTTTCTGTTGGCTCTGTCATCTTAAAAGTGAATCTAAGGAGTAAGCTTGATAAAAATCTTTAGAGCTGATCCTAACGAATACTCAAACATTCCTGTTTCATTGTGATGCGTCCTCTTAACGGATGCTTGGGGAGTATTTATTGATATACTGCATTTACTATTGTTAAACAAGAAACTCCTGAGCTCAACCAGGTTTTATTTTCCTCCCATTTTCTCTAATATATAGAACAGTACTCTTAGCTGCAGGATATGGTAGAGTCTAGCTGGATTTTCTGGACCATCTCCATTAGCTCTCTCTCCCGACATCTGAGCTGCCATCTCCCCATCATATGAATCAGGCTCCTTATTCTCTTCAAGGCTGCACTGTAAAAAACACCTCCCTTCCTTCCACTGACTTGACCTACCTCCTTCCTTCTTGATTTTCTTTTTTTTAATTTCCTCTAATCATGTTCAGTAGTCTGATGATGATGATGCAGAAGAAGATACTGTCAAAGTCTTTCTCTGTATTTGGGGGTGAACTTGCCAGCCAAATCTCAGTGTGGAGAAAGACAAAGTCCAGGCACTAGATCCCTCCTGGAAGGCAGACTAGAGGGTCACTCTAGAACAGAGGTGAAAGCAGTATTCATGATGGTTGATGAAAAGAATCCTGGGTTGAGGTTAAGTTGGGTAGAAATCGCTAAAAAAGGAGATGGTTAAAAGAGAAGTAAGGATTAATGCTAGGGAGGCAAAGCTGGTAGATCAGAATCAAGTCAATGAATGGTAGATGTTATGTTTCCTTTATTTATTTATTATGTTTCTTTAGGACAGTCACGGACCCTTAAAGGGACTCAATTAGGCTGGACGATAAGCATCCTTGATGTTGTCTTCATCAAAATTATCATCTTCATTACTATTGTAATTATCATTATGATGTTTTAAGAAAAATAGGAAAGTATATTAGTGTTACATTAAAATAGTGAAACAATAGGTTAAAGAAAACTTGGTTATCATTCTATAATCTTTATTCAGCAGGTTGTTGACTGATTTTTATTGAGATATAATTCATATAGCATAAAATTCACCATTTTAAATTGTACAGTTCAGTGGTTGTCATTCTCCCTTCCATCCCATGCCTTAACAATCTGATTGTTTTCTTACTGTTTGGCCACATCTTGAAAACTTATGGATCTGACTCCCAGTTAATCAAGATTTACTAATCAGAGTGTGTTAGTTTCTTACTGTGGCTCTAACAGATTATGGCAAATTTAGTGGCTTACAACAACACACGTTTAGTATCTTGCAGTTTGGGAGGTCTTACTGAGCTAGAATCAAAGTGTTAGCAGGGCTGCATTTTTCTAGAGGCTTAAGGGGAATCCATTCCCTTGCCTTTCCCATTTCTAGAGGCTACCTGCATCCTTTGCTCATGGTCCTTACTTCAGCTTCAAAGCCAGCAGCATAGCATCTTCACATCTCTCTCTGACTTTGTTCCTCCTGCCTCTTTCACTTATAAGGACCGTTTTGGTTACATGTGGGTCCACCCAGATAACCTGGGATAATGTCTCCATCTCATGATCTTTGATTAATCACATCTATAAAAGTCCCTTTTGCCATGTAAGGGAACATTCACAGCTTCTAGAGTTTAGGATGTGGACATCTTTGGGGGAGGGCATTGTCATTCAGCCTACCACACTGAGATTAATATTAAGATGTTATATTGCATGAATAATATTACGTTAGTGTATTTTTTATGTTAGATGAGGTCTTTCACCTCCTACGAAATTTTCTTGAACACTTCTCTGGATTTCACAGCCTATGAAATTTAAAAGCCCTCCTTAAGATGTATGCTTATTTCCAGGGAGCTTACATTTTTCCACACTGTGTCAGTTCCATCTGAAATGAATTCCTGTTCCTGATTTCCCCAAAATATATCCACCACACTAGTTGCAAGTTTTGCCTATTTTACTGAAAATTTGGAAGTTTGTGGGGATGCCCATCTATCTCACTCATTTTTCCTTTCGTTTTTTTCACTCTTACCTTCCCTATCCCTCTTCTTGTTCCCCTGCTCTCAGATATCCTGGGACCCCCAAATTCTTCTCTCCCTATTATGCAGATCAGTTCATGTTTGAACAACTTTATCAACCTTGAAAAACTACAGCAAAGCACATCAGAGCAAGGGGCAAAATGATGTTTCTTCCAATTTTAAATATAATCCTAATACTTATGTAAAGATTGTTACCATACATAATTGAAAAATGACGCTAAGTGTCTTCAATTATTTGGACACGTATTTGATATGGATATCTGAATATTATCTCACTTATTGGCACTTATCACTTTTTAATTCGATTTGCATAATTACTCACTATTTACCAGGTATTTTCTTAACTGCAAATATAATAAAGAAGAATAAAACGTAAAGTCTTAATATCGTTGGCTCACATTTTTATCAATCTCCTTTAGCCATTGTCCACTCATATCTTTGCTTTGACTATCACCTTTGGTGAATGGTCTCGTACCTATCCACAGCTAGTGGTCAACATAAGGTGATGGCACTAGAAGACCTGGGTTTGACACTACTGTAAATGGTGTCCACCAACAATACTAATTGCCGTGGAAATAACAGTATTAGAATAGGAGATTTTTAAGAGATAAAAGTGATTTCCTGGGGGCTGGCCGGGTGGTGTAGTGGTTAAGTTCACATGCTCCACTTTGACAGAACAGGGTTCACAGGTTAGGATCCAAGGCACAGACCTACATGACATTCATCAAGCCATGCTGTGGTGGCATCCCACATACAAAGTAGAGGAGGATTGGCATAGATGTTTGCTCAGCGACAATCTTCCTCGAGCAAAAAGAAGATTGGTAACAGATGTTAGCTCAGGGCCAATCTTCCTCACAAGCACACACACAAAACGATTTCTTGAATAAGCTTCTTAAAAGTATGCATCTAGCACAACAAGATCTCAGAAATTTCGTTTCCTTTATGCATCCACAGTGTATATACATCTCCAAAACCTTTAAAATGGCAGCGACTGTGTCTCTCTTTCTCTCTGCTTGGCATAGAGTAAGTGATGAAAATAAAAATATTTATTGAATGATTAAATAAATACATATATATCAATGCACTTCACAAAATAGTAACCATGACCATTGATGACCACTCACTATGCGCCAGCTGCTGTGCTAAACTTTGTGTATACATTAAATATTTTTACTCCTATCATACATATAAGAAAATAAAACTCAGGGGGATTTAGTAACTTATCCACAGTCATATATCTATCTGTAGCTTTCCTCTTAGCTATTAGCCTGTATCACTCTCTTCTTATCATACTCAACCATAATTATCTTATGGACTGTCTGGCTCCCTTACTAGACTGTGAATTCCAAGAAAATAGTGAATTCCAAGAAAATAGTGATTTTGACTTGCATATCTCTGTATAATCAGTGCTAAATTCAGAGCCTAGCAAAGAGCATATGTTCAATGACTCCTTCTGGGTTGAAATGATTAATCTTTGGAGAACCCCCTCAAGAAAAGGAATCAGTGGGGAGGACTTGGAAATTAGTAGAGCTATGCTCAGATCATTCATGCAAGCTGAGCTATGCCAATTAGGTCATGCCCAATCCCTAGGTTCATTTTCTAGTAGATAATGTGAGCTACTGAAAAAGTTTCAGATAAGGGTCAGCTATGTCTGTAATTTTGATATCAAGTTATAATAAAAACAAGTCAAACCGGATTCTGCCATGCTCACAGAAATTTATTAAATACATTCATTAGCAATCATTCAAAGAACAGTTTATGTATTCTATATTGTAATCTCAATAAAGTCACGTGGAAGTTTTAGTTGTTCTGACCACCACCTGGTATGAAAAATTCACTTGGGCTGGATGTGAACAGAGATAACTCTTGTAGTCATCATCAGGCAATCACAAATTCTCCTGCACTGCAGGCTAAGCACAGATCACTTTAGGATCAAGCTGTGGCCACTGTCCTGGAGGATATAGTTTAAGGGATATAGTTAAGGCTATAGTTAAGAATTGTTCACTGAATTCTTATATTGTGATTCTGAAAGGAGAGGAGAGACTTACTGAAGTATGTGAGCAAATCCTCATGTCTAAATACCTCCAATTTCACCAGTGAGAACCTACTTCTAACAGTCATCATGCTAATTAATAAGCCACTGATTTCACCAATGCAGATTCTTTTTGGACAGTCATCAGGTTAATTACCAAAGGCTCAAGTGATGATGGAGAGATGCATAAGGAAGCCCTAGAGTTGAGTCTGGAGGATGGTCTTTCTGATGTAATGCCAAGTGAATGCCATAGAATGTGATTTTTGATAGAATAACTGAGATTTATATCTTAAGCTAACACACTCACAATATCAAATCATTAATGTTAAATTAGATATAAATACATATACATATGTGTACATATGTATGGGTACATGTATGTGTGTGTGTGATCAACTTTCTCTTTTCTTCCAGGGACCATCTGCTCTCTAGAATTAGTGTTTAGAGTATGTGATCTAGGTGGTTTTGGTAGGTTCTCCAGAAGTAATCTATTTTCTGGGAAGCCTTGTCTCTAATCGTATTCAAATTTTACTTTTGTCTCATCTTCAGTTCCAAAATTTGTAGAAATTTCATATAATTCAGATTTATATATTTAATATACTGTGATTAATAGATCTTTTTCATGTTATTTTTTCCTTCTCAAGTAATTTATAAACTTATCCAGAGAAAGGATTAACTTTTTCCGTTTTTATTTGCTCATCCATCCATTTCATAAATGTTTAGAGGCATCAAACTAGGTTCTTTCCACTCTCTCTTTTGCACTTCGATGCCCACATGAAACTGGGCTCAGGAAACAGTGCATGTACTATAAATATTGTTGATTGACTGAAAAGCATCCTATTATGAGGCCATCATTATTGAAGTTTGCAGGTTTCTTCTCCTAATTTCAAAATGCCTTTTTCATTTTAGATCACCCCAGATAGCTGTCTCACGGCATCAATCTATCGATTCTCACTGCACGGGGTAAAGAAGAAACCACCGCATCAGGTATGGTTTCCAGGACCAAAAAGAACCCAGTGAAAATTAAATACATATAATGCACTTCAGAGTGAAACTTTAAAAATGTTCTTACAATAGAACTTGAGGCAATTGATTTTAGAAATTACTAGAAGCAAGGGACCATTTTTTCTCTACTACAAGATCTCTTTTGTGGAAAAGAAACTATTTATACAAGTACTTGTTAAAGCTTCTACATTGCAATTTACTCCACCTAATAATTACCCTATCAACACATATTCTGTCTAAATGCCTTTAGTCACAGTCCTTCTAGTATAATCGGGGGGTTCATTGTTCTTCTGTTTGATGTGCTCTGGAAGCTCGCAGCATCTTATTCTAATCAGTATTTGATTGCATTGTCTGTTGAAATGAAAGTAACAATGATTAGTGGGACAGATGTTTCCCTTCAATGTGAAAATGTAGGGGTTAAAACCACAAATTAAACTGAATACTCAGTCTTTGATTGTATTTTTCAAGATGGTGGGATTCAAATTTTTGTGAAGTAGAAATCAGGTACTAGTGAAAGTTGTAAAGATGTGTGACCTGCAAAGTACATGATATCTGGAAATAGCTGCACTGTCCACTCTGGAGAATAGACACACAACTGTGGTATGTTGGGAAAATGAAATATCATTTGCTTTTACGGATGGTGATTTTGACAAAGAGACTGGGAGAAACATGGGAAGGGAAAACAAAACAATCAGAATTTCATGCCAAGTGCATCAGTGCCTCAGTATATTGACAGCAGGATTAGAAAAGCCTGTGAATGGATTATCATCATCTATTAGAATACTACCATTCTTGTTGATATTAGATATTCCTCTGCTTGTTGGCTGAAAATCCTATAAAAATCAATTGTTTATGACATTTAGTTGTCAAAATACAAAGATTTTATAACAGCTAACTGATTTCTCTCATATTGGTCATACCTATCTCTTATTTCTAAGTATATTCCCTATTTAGTATTTTTCATTGAGATTTCCAATTTATTAGGTCATGAGAAAAACTTAAAAATATAATGTATGTGTCAATGAATTGACATTAATTTCAAAGTTGAGGAAAGAATTGAGGCCAAGGTGATTCCCATTTGTTTGTTTGTTTATAAAAACAGTATGGTAATTCATACCTTTTATTTAAATAAATTTTGCAGTAATCCCTTCTCTTCAACCTTCACAAAGACTTGCTGAGAATAAGTAATGCACAAAGCTGCAGAATATAGATGAGCAGGCTAGACTGGGGGTGGGTTCCTGGTTAGCCAATGTCCTGAGGAAGAACAATAGAGTCAAGCTTAAAATCCTAATGTATGATGTAAGTTACCATCACATCAAGAGTGATAGCATGTGACTTTCTGACTACAACAGTCTCAATCATCAGTCTCATTTGGGGTAGCCCCTTGTTTATTGTCTGGATTACTTAGACAGTTATTAAGAATAGGGATGGGGGCCAGCCCGGTGGTGCAGCAGTTAAGTTTGCATGTTCCACCTCCCGGCGGCCTGGGAATTGACGGTTCGGATCCGGGGTGCAGACATGGCACCGCTTGGTGCGCTGTGCTGTGGTGGGCGTCCCATATATAAAGTAGAGGAAGATGGGCATGGATGTTAGCTCAGGGCCAGTCTTCCTCAGCAAAAAGAAGAGGATTGGCAGCAGTTAGCTCAGGGCTAATTTTCCTCAAAAAAAAAGAGGGATGCATATCTTTCGATTAGAATGAGTCCTCTGACTACTGATCTGCTCAGGGTTTGTATAAAATCACTCTCTAGATCTCTTTAGATTATGGGCCATGGGTCTAATCTGCTTTACTAAGCTTTATTCATATGCAATTAGAAGGTTAAAAATGAAGCATCTTTGGAGTCAATATCCGTGATTAAGAGGTTATTGGTCTTTCTGGTCAAAGAGGTGGTGCTACAGTGGGATTTCTGTGTTCCCTGATGCCTTCACTATTTCATAGCATACTCACCCCAACCACACACACATTTCTTACTACTTTTGACCATGGCATTTACTTGACATATACTTTTGTTTGTTTTAATGCCATTAATTTAACCTAAAGGCTTTTGACCAAACTCACATTTGGAAAACACAACAAACAATAAAGGAAGAGTGTTTCAAAGTTCATATGACTGCCTTCATGATTCTGGGCAAACCATTTCAACCCTTCTCCTTCCTACGCCCTGGAGGAAAGGCCTCTGTGAAGGCTAGCTCCTCTCACATTGGGACTGAATATCTTTGTCCTTTCTTTTAATTTTTTTTTGTCATCAGACAAACAGATCTATTTTGGTTGTCCCATTTGATAACTACCTGACCATTTGAATCTTTTTACAGCATAAATACAGCACAAGTAGACTTAGGATCACATCTCGCCTCATCTTTCACGGGCTGTGAGTCAGGAACAAGTAATTTAATCTCCTTTTGCTACAGCTGCTTCCTTTGCAGGTGGGAACAATGATATTACCCCAAAGGGTGTCTCCAAGGATTGAACTAGGTAATGCATTTCAAGCTCTTAGTATACTGGGTAGCTCAGAGCAAGCGCTCAAAAATGTTGACTGTATTATGAAATTGCTTAGATTATTAATCAGAGTGGTAGATATGGATATAGATTAACAGAGTCATCACAAGGAATAAGAATGGCTTATCTATTTTTAACTAGTTGGAATTGAACAAAACCTTATCACTAAAAGTGCACCAAAGGGGCTGGCCCCGTGGCTGAGTGGTTAAGTTCGCGCGCTCCGCTGCAGGCGGCCCAGTGTTTCGTTGGTTCGAATCCTGGGCGCGGACATGGCACTGCTCATCAAACCACACTGAGGCAGCGTCCCACATACCACAACTAGAAGAACCCACAACGAAGCATATACAACTATGTACCGGGGGCTTTGGGGAGAAAAAGGAAAAAATAAAATCTTTAAAAAAAAAAAAAAGTGCACCAAAGATAGCTCGGAGTTTGAAGATTTGCAGAGCCTCAGGTCTTTTTCACTATTGATTATCATTGCAAACACAGAAAACTAGAAGTATAGAATGTTCCATATATGGAGTTCAATATCTGAGAACACTACGGTAAAAGTGACCATGGATATCACCTAGCCCAAAGTTTTTTCAGACTAGATTGTTTGTTTGGATTTGTTTTGTTTGATTTGGTTTGGTTTCTTATGTGGAACTACACTATATATAAAAGTTATACAAGGAGAGCTGATTTATTTGGGAATGGGAAAGGCTCAGATTCTTGTTTGTTCAACTCTCCCACCAACACCATCCCCAAATTTTCTCTGAAGACCCCCGCAATGATTAGAGAACACAATTTAGAAAACACTGACCTACTCCAGTCCTCTAAACTTTAGGATGGAGAAACTCAATCCAAGAATAGAGAAGTGACATGCCCAGTGTCAACACATTGAGAGACAGAGAAGTCTGGATAGGCTGACTTCCATCTGCTGGATCATGCTGACTCTGCAGAATCCATTCAAAGTTTAGGATAGCAAATATGGTTGTGGAAAATGTGGGCTTCCCTCTTTTTTACCAATCATATCATTTTGGTGGTTGCACATGTATTACAACAGCAGTTCTCAAACTGTGGTTCCCAGTCAGCAGCATTAGCATAACTTTTTGTCAATACAAATTCTTGAGCTTACCCAGACCATGTGAATCAAACACTCTGGTGGTGGAGCCCAGCAATTTATGGAACAGCAAGCCCTCTGGGGGATTCTGATATTCACTGAAGTGTGAAAACCTCTGTATTAAGCAAATTCTTTGGAAATTAGCTTCATACATAAAATAATTTTAACTAAATGGCTTATTTACCAATGGGCAAAACTGATATGAAGATACATAAATTTCTGTAAAGAAAAGAATTAAGAGGAAGAATGAAACTAACATTTGCTGATCACCTGCCATATACCAAGCACTCTTTGATTTCTATTAGTTATCTTATTTAATCCTTATAGCAGCACTCTGAAGGATGTATTATTATCTGAACTTTGATGGGAAAATTAGATTCAGAGGGACTAAATAACTTATCTGAGATCATTCAGCTGAAAGTTGCACAGCTAAGATTTGAACCCAGATATAGTTGGCTCGAAAGCCTTAAATCTTCTCATTATGCATTGAAACCCACTGGGTTTTGCACACACACACACCTGGGATGGAAAATATGCAACTCTAGGGGAAAATCCATGCATTTGATTTTCATTATCATTATGGAGTGCTTTCATGTTGCTTATACTTGGGATGTAACATACCTCTCTCTTGATATTATATGGAAACGATGATTTGTCACTCTGACATGGTATGGCTTTTCTATTCTTTTTCGTTATATTTATGTCTATGTGAATATCAATTCCCAAATTTCTATATACTTGCCTAACTATGACAAGCTAATAGATATTTATATACTTATTTTTTTCCCTATCATTCATGTAAGAAATAAATATAGATCTAGTGTGTCCTGTTTGGGACATCTAAGAAGTTTCTGTAAAATGAATCATCACCTTAGATATTCTGTAAATAAAATCATATAAGTATTATGTAAATGTAATTACCTATAGAAGTAATTACAGGGATATGCACTGCCAACTTTGGAGCTGTAGCATGTGGAATTTTAGGAGAAGGTAATTATATATCACATTCCCTAAAGCTTCAACATTAGAAAGAAGCTCATCAATTTTTATATCTGAAAGAGACATTAAATATTTTATTTTGTTCTGTAGAGGGTGTGGTGAGTGGGTGATTTGACTAGAAATGGAGGATGAGGAGGTGCTGGAAACTTGGAGGATATTCCCATTGTGGAGGTGTCGCAGTTTCAGAGCTGTTAAGATTACATTCCAGTTATAAGACTTGATGATCTCTACTTGAGACCAGTGTTCAAAGGTCAGGGAGGAAAATTCCCCTTGCCTCTTCCACATTCTAGGGTATTGCCTGGAAGAATGTCAGTCACATAATCTAGTACTTGGTAAAGTCTAGAAGATAGAACTTGGTTGTACGGATTATATCATTGGCTGCCAGAG